AACACATTAACCGCACTAATCGAGGGATTCCTGTATATACATTTTACAAAGAAAATTGAAATAAAGCTTAGACCATTGTTTAGAGCATCATCCCTAGCATTTGGCTATTTCTGTTTGCCTTATACATATCAGTTTGATAGACAGTTAAATAGTATTTAGGTTTTACTTTTATATTTTAGTTATTTATGTATCATTTATGTTTTAAAATTCATATTTAAAAGGTTTGATGCTTAATTAAGTTTTTTTACTCGTTGCTTCGCTGGTCAAGAGTTATAAAAATAGGCGAGTGCAAACACTTTGTCGTAAACTAAAGTGGACTCACTGCCAATCATAGTGTTATATCACCCACAGGCACCTGTTGAAGAGTGTCAACATGAATAACAAAAGAAAAAGAACTGAAAAGAAATAAAAAACATTAAAATAGACTTTATGTGAAAAGGTAAAGTCTTGAAATGACCAAAAGAAGATATTTTAAGAATATTCCACTAAGAGATAAAAGGTATGTATATATGTCCATTTCTTAATTTTAAACATTTCATTGCACTGTATGTTGATAATAGCTAGAGTTAGTGATATTGTAGAAAAAAATGGAAAATAAAATATAAGCATTTACCTCATAAAACTTTTGATATTTATTTTACAGGTCCTAGACATTATGCAAGTGAAATGTGAAACTAAGATAATAAATAGTATTTTTATACTCAACATGAAAATCGTCTTGCAGGTGAAGTATTCAGAGCTTGAGTGCAAATGACAACATTAAATAATGAATTTTTATTAGAAATAGTAGAAAAAAAATCAAAATTAAATGTTATAAATTTTTTAAACTATATACTTTTAGGAAAGTTCTTGTCAAATTTCAAACATTTTTCTACACCAATTTCATTTGGTAGTCATAGGGTTAAAGGCTTAAAATCTTTGAAACAATTATATAGATCAATGTAGTTTTGAGACTTATAACAATTTATGTAAAAATGTAAATTTAACCCTGTAAGAACAAAGTTTATCAATTTTACAAGCCTTGGAACTGTGAAACTATACATAATAACTCTAAATTTACTATATCTTTATGAAATTTGGCAAGCTTTTAGTGTACACAAAAAATTAAATATTTTAATAAAGTATTTCTACTGAAGATTTGTCTGTACATTTCTGAAGTTTTTACTGACCCAATCTGAGTGAAAAGTAATTTTCCTGCTAAGAATAAACATTTTTATCTTAAACTTTCTTATTTCACTTGTATAACATCTAAAACAATCCTAAATGAATATTAAGTTTTTTCTAGGTAAAACTTTTTTTATCTCTTATTTTCTGTACTCCAACATTAATTATTGGAAAAAACCATCAATATATAATGAAAAACATTAAATATTTTTTTTCATTTGTACTGTCTGCAGTACTGATCAGAAAGTTTGAAATCATTTATCTAAACATTTTCAACTGTTAACCTTTTCACATCTTTTTTTTTCTTTTTTACCCACTGAAGCAAGAATTTTGGTGAGAAAAATAATAAATCACAGCAAAAGCACATTAGTTGTTTCCCTCTAAGCTAATATAAAGAGCACATGAACTGAGTGTTATGTTTCACATAGTGAAGGAGCTAATGAAATTTTTGACATTTTATTTTACTAAAGTTTTTGTTAGGCTAAGTTTAGAAATTGATAGTTTTTACATTTTAGTTGCTTTTCTTAAAAAATATATAATGGTAAATAAAAGATATACATAAAACAGAAGGATTTATAGTACTTACAACTTACACAAACCATTTGTACTTAAATAAAAATATTTTGCATTCTCCTCTAAGCTTCATTGACTCTCAAATTTGGGTGTCCCAAAAAAAAATATTTGTGTGGCTTTCAAATATGCATCTTAGAACCCAAAAACTATCAGTAACTAGAACAGAATATCTCAAAACTACTAAAACTTATCTGGCTTTCTGCATATTATGGGCATAGTAATTGTTATTAAAGTTATTTAATTAAATTTTGAATTTAAAACTGTAAAATGCCAAAAAATGTGCATCCTAGTAGAATTGCAGGATTTAAATAGATGAGAATTTGCTATTTCTGTTGGTTATAAAAATGTCCATCAGCCCTGTAAAGTTGATTAGCAAGCAATTTCAAAAGTCAGAGAGAAAGGGAATGGGCTTTTCTGGCAGGTTTGCCAAATTTACTAGAAAATCACGAAGGAAGGAGGCTCAAATTTTAGATTCTTGCTTGTAATTATGTACTTTGGTTCAAATTGGTTGCAAGCTGCAGCAGCCAAATTTTAGAAAATTCTGAATTGGTTTGTTTGTCTTGCTTTTTGAATTTTGTGCAAAGCTACACAAAAGCTATCTGCAATAGCCATCCCTAATTCAGCAGTGAGAGCTAGAGGGAAGGCAGCTAGTCATCACCACCCACTGCCAACTTTTGGGCTACTCTTTAACCAAGGAATAGTGGGATTGACCAACACATCATAATGCCCTCATGGCTGAAAGAGCAAGCATGTTTAGTGGGATGGGAATGCGAATCCCCAACCCTCATATTGCGAGTCAAATGCCCTACCCATCCGGCCATGCCAGGCCAATTCTGAATTGGAGAAACTGAAGTTCAGACATGTCATGTGATACAGAAAAATGAAGGTTGAGATTTTTTTTAAATATCTTTTTAAAATTTAGAAGTTAAAACTTGTATAAGAATTGAAATATGAAATATTTGTTAAGTCTATATAGATACTGATAATAAAGTTATATAATTAAATTTTGAATTTAACATTGTAAAAATGCCATAAAATTGGCAAGAGCTTTTTAAATTACATGTATCTTCCATCTAAGAAAACACTTATAATTATATATAGTACTTGTATGATTTTCAACCTTTAAAGTATATTTTCATTCATCTTAAACTGCCATTTTTTTGTTACTGTGTTCTAATCTTGCAAATGTATTTGATAGTTTTTCAATAAAACTACAAATTTTCTATCTTCATTGTAGTAACATCTTATGAAATTTACTTAAGTTCACTAACACCAAAAAAGAAAAATATTAAATAAATAGAACTAGAAATTTTTATATTATTGATATGAAAGTTTCTTTTTATAAAGAAAATATTTTAGTTCATTTTATATTCATTAACAAATTTATCTTTGGGATTTTTTATTGGCATGTATTTTTTTCAAACTGAAGTAATCATGCAACTTTCTAAAAATACTCAAATTCAGAATGATCAATAATGTTTTATGACTGAAATCACTATACAACATTTGAGGCCTGTGTACTCGCCAACCTTAAATATTCTTGCCTGCTATAGAAAAATGTCTTTGTAGCTTTCAAATAAAAACAATATAATATAATTCTACATTAAAACAAGCCATGGAAGATTAAAAAAAATATATAAAAAAAAGAAAAAGAAAACATAATATGCAGTTGATATCTACATATGATAGCTTAAACCCCTTTTTTTTCCCATAAAATGAGAGTAGATTAGAATTAATTTTTGAATGCAGATATTCAATTTTCCCACAGGAGTGACTTTACATAATGGGTTGCAAAAGGGGTTAAACATTAACACATTAATAACCTTTAGGGATCAAGCAAGGAGCTTATGCTGCAAGACTGAGAGGCAAAGGATTAAGAAATAAGCAGGCAAAACATTAGCTATACTATTTTATTTGTGAAATGTGTGACGGAACATAGACATGATCACATGGTCAAAAGTGAAAAGAGAAGATGTTTAAGAGTTTAAAAGTTTAGTTCATCTCCTACAATAAACAATCTCAAGGTAAAAAAACAAAAACAAAAAATATGATGTGTAAGCATGTTTAAACAAGTCTGTCTTTTAGTATTGCAGTCAGCTACTCACTTTAATCTCATGGATAGTAAAGTCTTTAAAGCTGTGTCAACTTTATAAAACTATGTTCATGATGCTTTTTACATGCCTTAAACATAACCATATTGTAACAAATGATAAAAATTATGACTGAGTGTTAAGACTTTTACAGTTTTATCGACCCTAAGGCATCAAATTTAATTTAAATCAAGTATCAGAAAAAGAAGACAGTGTATATACTTCAAAGTATCCAAACCTTTAATATTTTTTGTGTTTCCTTCCACTTTCCTGTCCATTCTTCTGTCAGTACTTTTACCTACATAAAAATCTTAAATTTATAAAAAACAATAACATCAGCAAAGAAACACTAATTATTAAGTTGTTAGTAGTAAGTATCTAGTTACATAAAAAATGATTGCTTTCTGCTTACCACATCTTATCATAATTACTTAACCTGTTACCTGCTGTGGCCATTTTGTCTTATCATGAGGGCAAAATCACAATTGTGAATTGAAAAAATTATATAGAACTTATCTTTCTTATCTTGGATTTCAGATTTTACTTTTGTAAATAGTACCATAACATTCAATTACTTGTACAAAATTGTATTATTTAATGAAGTTAAAGAGAAATTTAATATAAAAAATCCCAAAATACGTTTGAGATTATAAATAATCACTCTTTAAGAAGAAAATTTTTTCAAATTTTTTCTTGCACTTCAGCGCTGGTCCTGCCATCTATGATTGATATCTAAACCTTTTTCTAGTCAGTTTTCTTTATAAAACATCGTCTGGGTGTGTTAAACCTCAGTTGTAACACCTTTAGTCAATCCTAGTCGAATGTGTCAATTTCAGTACCATGTTATTCCAATCGCTGTATTTCATGTTTGACAAATCATAGGATGGTAAGCAGAGCACGTGACAAAACGGTGTTCTATGGATTTCACAATATGAATGTGGGTAGTGCTTATTATAGTACCTGCCATTTTATGTAGAAGTTGTATTTAGTATTGGTCAATAGTACTTTTTATAAGCCTTAGAAAACTTGCTTCTGGAAAAACTGCATGGGATGTATGCGACTTTTATTATTTTTCTATAGTAGCTTAAGTCGTACTGTATCATATATCTATTTATATTAATCATTATATTGAAAAATTAACTAAAAAAAATTGATCTACGAATGTTAGGGTTAAGAGATATTGAGTGGCAAGTGCAAGGTCTTTACGTGAAATAGGCTTAGCACTTTGAACTGAAAGAGTGTGATTTTTTATATTCTTTTGCATTTAAATTAGTAGTTTTAAGTTAAATAATTTAGCATAATTTTATAATTATTTCATAATAATAATATGATTCAGTATTTAGAATGATACACTTGTGTGATCTGTACATAATACTACTAGTACCAGTACCACATAAGAATTTTATATTTTTCCTTCTTACTGTCTTTACTTTGTAGTAAGGCCCACACTTCTGTTGTTGTTGTTGCTTTAGAATTAAAACAGTCTAATTGATATATATAAAGTTTATTCTGATATTTTACAAATGGTTTAAACTCAGTATACAAGTGACAACAATAAAACCCATATGTTGGTTGTGAAACAGACTAAATACAATTGTCTCAATAATAAAGGGGAAGTTATGGTATTCTCACATTTGGGGTCTCAATACACTGAAGAGCTTAAGCCTCGAATTCCAACATAGATCTTGCCTATATTGAGAGGAATGTGAACCTGACTAATCTTTTAAGTGCTGTGAAGTAATTTTTTTTTGTAATTTATGGTGTCTGTATCATTTGGTAATCTCTTCTAATAGGGTGTA